TGGAAAAGAGTTAATTGCTGGCATTTGTTCCTGGCTGCACGGTTGAATGAACGAACGAACAAACAAACAAACAAACTAACTAACTAACTAACTATATATTCTGTATTTTAAAATGTAGTTCTGAGTAAATTCAATATAAGTTTGCAACACAGATTAAGATGCATAATATAAAGGAAAGAGCGCAAACAGCTTTTGAACTGGATAAGGATAATATATTGAAGAAATGAGGACAGTGTGGTGGTGCTAAATGACTTCTAGTTGTCCGTATGCCCAGAAGCATAAATCTGTAGCACGTAAGGAGAACACTTGGGGCAAAAGCACAGATGCCACAGTTATACTTTCAATTTAGGAGCCTGGGTGAGGGAAAGAAGGAAGCAGTCGGTAAAATGATTTAAGATACCCAGAAATAATGGGATGAGCTGGAGAAGCCAACATTTGTTATGTTAGATGTTAGAAGTATTAGGATTGTGGTTGACAAATCTTTAGCTGCTAGAAAGGTTTAGGACCGCATTCAGCTTCCTGAGCCTATTAGTACTGTCTTGATTCCCAGTTTTGCAAACTTCGGAAGAATCACAACTTTTACAGCGGCAAATGGAGAAAGCAAATTTGGTCCTCCGGTTTCAAGGGGTCCCAGAATTAAAAAGCGAGAATCTAAAGCAACTCTTGAGTGAAGCATTAGCCCCAGTCACAGATATGAAAGCGGAATATCTTGCAAGCAAAATGGATGTGGTCTACAGGTCCTATTTCGTGTATATCAAGAAGAATAATCTGCCTGGGGAAATAGTGGTCAGATTCTCGAAGAGGCATGTGAGGGATTCTATCCTGAAAGCAACTACAGGAACACCCTTGAAAATCGAGGACAACATCATCAGGATTCTAAAAGACATCCCATTTGAAATAAGGCAAAAGAGAAAGAAATATAAAGACTTAATCCTTTTTCTACAAACAAACAGCATTGCCTACAGATGGTTAATTCCAGAAAGTGTCATTTTCAAAGTACACGATAAAAAAGAAAAGATTGACTCTGTTCCTAAAGCACGTGAGTTCCTGAGACTGCAGCTGGGAGAGACAGCTGAGGAAGAGAAGGAAGAAGATGACAGCAAATCCAGTGGCAAATTGGACTCGGTGTCTTCCGACGAGGACTCTGCTTCCGATAAGGGGGCAGCTGCCCCTAACCGTGCATATAAATTAAGGATTGTGCCTTAAAACTTTAGTTTTATTATGGGATGCTCTAAGGATTCTCCTAAACAGTTAAATCAATGGATAAAAAGATAAATAATTTAGCATAACCGACTATGTTCAAAGTAATACTAGCAATTTAAGATTAACATTTATATAAGCTGTTGTTATGATCTCCTATTCTTAGAGTTTTAGTTTTTAGTGGTTTTCTTTCCTTTCTCCCTAGATGTAGTTACCCCTTCCCAATTTTTCGTTGTAGTTTGTAGTCTATTAAAAAATGCAATTAAAAATCCCCTCCAGGGGGCCAAAAAATAAAAAATAAATAGATTTAGAGTTTTACTTTATTCCGGGTCTAATTGTTTTCAACAGTGCTTGCTGCTTTGTTTTATGTTCCTCATTAATAAAGACGTCTTGATAGAAGGGCCACAGGATGGAAATTGAGTTTTATTTTTTGATATTCTGCAGTGACACTGTGCATTCTTCTAATTTAGAAAAATGAATTTTATACCTACAGATTCTATGTTTTTGTTAACAGTACAGCAATGGAAGGGCCAGCACAGCTATGATAGCAGCTTTTATAGTATTATTTACTAAATAAACCAATATCCCATAGCTAATGCCCTAATAATTACCACAAATGTATTTTAAAAAAATCCCACCACTGTCTTTTTCACAGATTGAATATTAATAGTATGTTCAAAATTCTCCTTTCTTCCCTATTTCTATCATTTATTAGAACCCATGGAAAAAACTAAGTGCTGATTCAAAATAGTACAGAAAAATTAAGCACAGTATCAAAGATTTGGCTCCACTAATATGCTTATAATTTAATAAACTCCCTAAGGAAATCCCTTAGTTCTCCTTTAGATATTGTGTTCCAAACCACACACAGGAAATCCATATTTACATTTCTATGGCTGATTCATCCTAACATTTCATGCTCAATTGCTTTCTCCAAAAGAAATGTGCCAAGTAAGGAATAGTGAGTACAAACCTGCTCATACATCAAGGAAATACAAAGAAGCAGGCCACTTTTTCAGATCAGAATTATCTTTCAATTCAATTTACTACCAAGATCAATGTTACAATTCCAGTTTCAAAAGCAAGTAATAGGTGCTTGGCCTAATGGATGGATTGATATTATTATTATGGGAAAAAAATCTGATTTAAATACATTATTTAAATCATTTCCCATCCTGGCATTCCTGACCAAGCACGCATAATAATTGGGCTTGCTAAAGCAATTAAAACAAACTGATTTGTAAGCAGACAGAACTTTTATAAAACCCAGGAGGATAATCTAAAACGGTGCTCATGCAGGCCATGTGCACACAGAATATTTGCTTAGAGGCATGAGATCAATTTGTATGTGGTTTCCAAGTGTACCAAGATGGTTTTAATCAAACTAAGGCTGCAATTTCACTTATTTGGAAGGAAAGCCCCACTGAACAAAGCAGAACTTTCCTCCAAATAACACACAAGAGGATAAGGCTTGTAAGTATCAAGAACTGTACATAAAAAAGGACTGTTAGCACCCATAGCAAAATACTGCTTCTCGATGAGACTGATGGTCCAGTCCTAAGCAGAGACACACCCTTCAAAGCTCATTGAAGTCAACTGGCTTAAAAGGATGTAACTGCTTAGAAGTGTACTGTAAATACCTCCCCTATTTTATTGAGAGCAAGTGTGCTATAGTGGTTAAGAGTGCACACAGTGGTTAAGAGTCTGTAAGACACAGGTTCAAAACCCCTCCTGTGCCATGGAAGCTCGCTGTGTGACCTTGGGCCTCTCACATTCTCTCAGCCTAACCTACTTCATAGGACTGGTGTGAGGATAAAATGGCAGACAGGAGAATAACATAAGCCATTTTGGCTCACCATTATGGAGAAAGGCAGGGTATAAATGAATCAAATGAATAAAAATTAGTATAGACATAAACATTCCACATTTGAAAGGTAATTCAGAGACAAAAAACAGAATTGGTCGATTCTGCACCCTCGGTCTCCCATTTCCCCCGGTTGTAGCGCTCAGTTTCCCAGTATTTGCTGTGTGGCTGCATTTTGACCCACATCTCCCCCCAATTTCCCATGTGTCTTCTTGACCCTTATTTTTTTAGGATCAAGAATATGCGGGGGAAATCAGAGGGAGATGCGGGTCAAAATGCAGCCACGCAGCAAATAGTGGGAAACTGAACACTACAACCAGGGGAAACGGGAGACCAAGGGAGGAACAACTGCTTTTGTGGAATCGGTCTAGGAGTACACAACTCCTTTGCTGGATGATATATAGGATGGCATATCAGGGACCGTAGTAGTTGTGATGACTTGCTAATCCCTGATCCACATTAATAAATACACATCATCTAAATCTCAAGATGTTAAATTGTTTTTTGATGTACAAAATAATTACAGGAAAAACAGTCTTTATTTCAAGAAATTTAGTAGATGGTCTCGATTCACTTTTAACATTCTACACGTGCAGACTTTATACATTTGTATTAAGTTCAGATTTCATATTAAATCAGGATAAAGAGATACTACATGTATGGTTACTCTGATTAAAAATCTAAGGTTAATTAAAGCTGCAAATGGGCAAAATCAACAACTGCCCGTGCATGTGCCTTCTCCATAGCGGCCCACACTTTATGGAATAGCCTGCCTGAAAAGGTAGGGAAGTCCCCCACTCTCCTGGCTTTCCACAATCTATGAGGTATGGAATTATTCAAGAGGTTTTCTGAACAGGCAAGAGGGTTGCAGTACACTAAATGATTTGCAAAGTTACTTACGTAAATTAATAGAGATTGTGGTCTATGCTACTGGGTTTAGCTTACTGAAGCTAGGATCCTACTATGTAATTTAGTATGATTTAGGCTGCGATCAAACACCCTAAATAACCCCCTTTCAGTGCACTTTCAAACTGTGTGAATTGGCAAAATCCAGTTGGAAGTGCATTGAAAGTGGACTGAAAGTGGACTAATTAGTGTGTGTGATCGCAGCCTTACTATGTTACGTTAAGATTTATGCTTATGCATAACATGTGAATAGGGCCCTAACCTTTTTCTGAGGGTCTGGAGAACTTTCTCAACATCTCCTACTTGAGATCCTTTCATTAATGCCAGGATGGAACCTGAAACCTTCTGAATGCAAGGTAGAGCCACGGCCCTTCTGTAATGGTTTCTCCACTAGGTGGCCCACTATTGTGGTAAGAAAGTTTCCGATGGGGAGGACTTCTAGCCTGTAGAGCTATTTACTGGGTCTCTTTCAAAATGCTCTTTTTATTTTCAACTATTTTTTGTGATTCTCTAGCCCTTTTAAACAGCTCTATCCTATGCTCAGTTAATAAGCTGCATGTAGAGTGTTTACACAGGGCAAGTTTGGTATTTATGGAAGTTTTCACATCGGTTTGGGCCCCTGTTCCAAGCTGAAAAAGTCTGGGACAATATTGACTTGCTTGGAAATAATTTTTTACCGCACTTAGAAAAGCAGAGAAAAGCCACTTGCAAGTCTGATACAAAGTACACATCATCTTTGTACAACTGGATTTGTTTAGAATTATGAAGCTTGGTGACAACAAACTTTTGATAATAAATTCCTACCATTACGAAATTTATCAACTGCCAGTCACAATTCCCATACAATACTTCCAATTTTCCATTTTGATGAAGAACCTTCAACAACCCATTCAAATCCATGAAAAAATGCTACATTCCAGATTTTTCAGGCTGTTTATAATTTGTAATTTACAGAGGATGGATAGTTCATTGATCATCTAGTGATCATTTCGTAAAAATATTTCTCAGTAATGTATTCTCATCCACTCACCACAGACAGAGCCTCGCACTAATCTCCTTAAATGTGGTCTCTCAGGGAGGTAGCGGTATTTGCATCCAAATATACTGAGGTTTGATGTGTGATCTCCAAAGAAACGGAGTTGGCGATATCTCTCTCCGCAGCGGTAACAGAAATTAGTGTTACACTGTGAACAAGTCATGTGGTCACATCCTTCTGTTCTCTGGATGTGGATCTTTATAAGCAAAATTAGGAAGGGAGGAAAAAGAGAAAAGGTTAGCTCTTAAGTTCCTTCTACACTACGTTTAGTTAAGTTTTCTTATAAAGAAGTAATTAATATGGTTCCAAGAAAAAGGATACCATTAATGGCTTGAATCCTACATGCTATAAGCAGAAGATGCTTCTTTATCTTTTCCTCCACGAGCAGGGAGGAGGAATTGGGTGAGACTGCCCCACTTTCCTCTTCCTCTGGCAGAGTAAGCTCAGCAGAACAAACTGCTGCATCCATGAAAGAGGGAAGGGGGGAAACTTCCCACTGCAGCCCCTGCCTTGCCCTGTTGGTTCCCCCAAGCTCCCAGCATCCCAACTTGTATTTATTTATTTATCAAATTTATATGCTTCTCCCTCTCCCCTTAACGGGACTCAAGGCAGCTAACAGCATATAAAATGCACCCAATAAAAACAATACAATAAATAATCTTTAAAATATAAAACGATTAAAAATCTATCCCCATTAAAATCTATCCAGTATTTTCAGTAGGATACTGGCAGATGCAGAGGAATGAAAGATCAATTTCCTTGAGAACTTGTGGTTCATAGGATCCAAGTCCACGACCAATTATGTCATGAGTTTCTAAAGCATGGGTGAGATTCATAAACAGTTGTTTTCCCACAATATTATCTTTTAGATGCTTTTTAATATTTAAAATATTAATTACTTTTTAGTCCCTCAAAATGATTTCAACTAATTTAATAGATAACCAAGACAACCAACAGTATTAGGCAATTACAATTCCTATATATCACAGACAGGTTCAACAGTAAAATCCCCTTGCCTGCTTCAACTTCCTCCATCTTCTGGAGTACATGAAAAAATGGCCTATGTTTTGAAATAAACACACTTAATCAGCGAACAAGTTATGTTAAAAAGTAGATAAACTTGTTTTATCATTATGCTTTATCTTTATAGTAGTGGCCTATTACACTCAAAGCACTCTATAGGAACAAGATTGAACAGGTATTGCCTACAGACTTACAATCCAAAAGATACAATCTTGTTTCATCAGTTCACTGAAGTCCATGGAAATTAAAAGGAAAGTTTAGAACTGGAAGTTACTGCTCCTTTCAAAATAAAATTTGAGCCAGGGTATAAACTTCATGAGTCAAAGTTCAGATCTGTAAAATTTTGTTGGTCTTTGGTGCTACTGGACTCAAATTCTGTTTTACCACTACCACTACTACAAAGTAACACCAGAAATGGTCTTTCAGAAATTATTCTGATTAGAGAAAGTCACTTAATCGTAGTATTGGTGAAATATTTATTCTTTAGATGACTGGAAACATCATATAGCTGTTTTTGTCTACAAGTACAATGATACTCCCTATGTGTAATGTTCATTCATTACTCATGGTTCAGTGCTATTCTGAAGTTTAACTCAGTCTCCAGTCCTAAAGGAGCTGCGGTGGCTCAAGTGGTTAAGACGCTGAACTGCAGGCTATGGAAGGACGGTAGTTCAGCAGTTCGAGACCCAGGTGCGGCATGATGGAGTGAGCTCCCATCTCTAGCTCCAGCTCCTGCCAACCTAGCAGTTCGAAAGCAAGAAATTGCAAGTAGATTAACAGGTACCACTTCGGTGGGAAGGTAACAGCGTTCCGTGCGCCTTGGTGTTTAGTCATGCCGGCCACATGACCACGGAAACGTCTTCGGACAGCGCTGGCTCTTCGGCTTTGAAACGGAGATGAGCACCGCAACCCTAGAGTCGGATTCGGCTGGCTTTCGAGCAAGGGGACCTTTACCTTTACCTTTACCAGTCCTAAATCCAATCTTAGGTCAACATTACACATTACAATTTTTAAAGTGTTGTATCCAGTCCCCAGAGTGACACGTCAGCTGTGAGGGAGCTAATTTCCAATTCAGTTACACATGCGGTGCCACAGTAGGGCAAACAGCACCCCCCCACAAGCTGTTCTGGGTTAGGAAAATGGCTCAGGGGGAAAGTAGAACCCCTTCTGTGGAAACGCACTGTGGTCCCAATCTAAACCAGGGCTCTTCCACTTGGGAAATGAGTTTTTTCACAGCTGTTATGTGAGCGTCAGTCAAGATGTCCAGGATTTCTATTGCTAAAAATTGGAAATCTGATAAATTACCGAGTAAGGATGATTTGACCAATATTCTTTATGAAGTAACTGAGATGGACAAGCTTAATATGTTTTTGGCGGGTAAAACAGAAGAACAATTTAACTTGAAATGGCAAAAAGCCATAAAATGGTACAAAGAAAGACGTTGACTTAACCCCCCAATGTATGAAATTGTAACGTGATTATATGTAAAGTTGGAAAACTCAAAATAAATTCATTTTAAAAAAAAGAAGATCACATCATAGATCCTGACCTAGGCACCACACGTTGAAAATCATAATGTGCAGTTTGAGCCTTAGTTTGAAGAAGTTATGAGTGGTCTTCCAAGAGGTACTTGCAGAAAACTGCTTGTTGCTGGTACTCAACTGTACCTTCTGGCAAGCTGGTGCTGTGGGTTCTATACTGTATCTAGCTAGTGCTGGCTATATGGAGAGGAAACTGGTTCTGTCTTTTAGTTTTAAGATCATATAAGAAAAACATCCATACTTTACCACAATATTAATGGTTTGTATTTTAACTTAACCACCACTACTTTCCCATCTGACAAAAACTACAATTTGATTAGTAGGCACTGCACGATGTAGCCTACTAAACAGAACCTAAACTCCACTGATGTATAAAACAGTACCATGTTTCATAGTGCATTACAATTAATTTTCTTTACCTTTCTGTTCCCTTTCATTGCTGTCTTTAGGGGGGGAAAAACAGGCAGATATTTGTTCCCCTTGGTTTTAAAATTTTCATTTCTGCTGAAGTAGTCAAGTTTTAACAGAGGGCACAGACAACAGAAAAGAATAACAGGGAAATAATATGCACACATAAATACAAGCTTAGTTTCTGCATGTACTTGTATGGAGCTTTCTGGAACCTAAGCTACATTTTAAAAAAATGATGTTTGCAATCACAGAGAAAAGACAAACACGAGCAGCATTTTACAGAGAGGTGTAAGAAGATTGAGGTACATGCCTGCATTCTTCAAAATAATTCTGCTTCACTACAATACCCATTTGCTTTTGAAACTGTACTGTGACCCTCATTAACATTAACAGAAGTCAATGAAATTTTTGCTAAATCATATTCCCATTTTCATTTGACTGCTAATAGAAGCATATTGCTCTTCCAACATATTCTGTTTCAGCAATACTGAACTTTAAAAAAAAAAATCTTTCCCCAAGTATTTATTCTCTGATCACTTGTGATCATACATGAACTATTCATCCCTTCTTTCAACATCAAAGCATTGCTCTTCTCCCAAATTTATACGTTGCCTGGGGCTCACAGCACAGGATGCTACAAGATACAGGGTTTAATACTATTTAAATTCTGTGAACAAAACACAAAGTCTTATCCCCTCTCCTGCTCTAGACCAAAATGCCCCCTGAAACACTTCTTTGAGGGAAAAGGGGACCCCAGGAGCACTCTGAGGGGGTGTTAGGCTGCCACTGCAGGTTGAAAAATCAGCAAAAACTCCCTTCACCCCTTGCATGTGCAAATCTTGCCCACAGGATCCACCCATACAGTTCAATCCTATGCAGCACACAGTTCGATATACTTGTGGCCAAGTAAGGACCATAGGGTTTCAGTCCCAGTGACACTTCAGTTTTTTCTTTTCTTTTCTCCAAGAACCTAATCAAACTCACCATGAAATCTGGCTCTCCTGCCTGAGACTTCTGACGTATTACACCAACAATATTACATCTTGAATAATACTGACTAAAGATGAAGTGAAATATTAAAATATTGAATAATTTTTTAAAATGCGACATGCGTTTCCATACATTCAAAGTGGTTAAAAAAATTTTTTTTGGGTCTCAATTAAGGTGTTTTAAAATTTTTTAATCATTTTGTTATCCAAAAATTCCTCTTATAATGAACTCCCTAGTAGCCCACACAAAATACTTCAAAAGTTTTACTTTTAAAAACAGGTCAAGACTTCAGTCCTCCAGTGAAAAAGAGAAAACATTTCCCATAGCAGCATACCACACACGGCAATGCATAGATCTAGTGACAATGATGAAAGTCAGCACAACTCTTCATTATTTATGGGGTCCAGTTCTTTCCTAGGGTCCTCAAACCACATAGGTCAGAATCTGGCTCTGTATGGGACAAGAACACATCGAAGGTTGGAAAGTGGGTCCTTACCTACGGTGCCGCATCTTGGGGCCTACCCCCTAAATTTACAGTCATGCCCCACAAAAAATCTCTTTTAGAAAACTTTTTAAAAAGTAATTATTTGTATCAATTCTGTCGTGCTGCACCCTGCCTCTAGCCAGCTGGCCCTGCACCGACTTCTCCAGCCGGCCGTAACATTCCTGCGCCTTTTTTTTTTTTTTGCCCCCCCGTAGGGGATTTTTTTATTTGCATTTTTTAAAAACTACAATGAAATAGGTCCGGATGGTATTACAGCAGAAGTTTATCAAAAGCTTGGTGATGAAATTCTCATGTCTTTTATGAATTTGCTCCATAACATTACAATAACAGGAGATTTGCCCAATTCATGGAATGAAGCACTGATCACACTCATATATAAACCTAATACCGATGATAAAGAAATCCATAACTATAGACCTATTTCGCTTTTAAATGTTGATTATAAGATCTTTGAAACAATCATAGCCACTCGCTTTAAGAAGATACTTTTACAGGTTATACACCAAGACAAGGCAGGCTTTCTCCCGAAAAGACAGTTAAAGAATAACATAAGAACGGTTATAAATACATTAGAATTCTATGAGCAACACCCTGAAAGACAATTAGCTTTGATTTTTTTGGATGCAGAGAAGGCCTTTGATAATGTAACCTGGGAATTTTTAAGATGTAAACTGGAACTTTGGGATTGTGGCAATAGTTTCATGACGATGATAATGTCTATATATA